CCCCCCACGGTTCCCTCTCGCTCGCCCGCCCCCCCAAGGTTCCCGCTCGCTCGCCGCCCCCCGGGTTTCAGTATGGAAGAAGCTAAGGGGAAATGTTTACATCCCTGTGCTTCTCATGTAGAGATTGTGTGTGTGTGTGTGTTTTATATTCTAAGCTCTGTTTCTTTTCTCTTCTGCCTGCAGGTGATCTATATGGGAGTGGTGCTGTATGCTCCCGCGCTGGCCTTTAATGCAGGTAACATGTAAACAAATGTGTTTTGGCGAACCCATTAGGGGTCACCCTGTTAAGAACTGAGCTAAGGAAAAGCAGATGTTTTGTTTTATGTTTGACTTGCTGTACAAAGCCCTCCTCATATTTTCTTGGCATGCTGAATAAAAGTGCCGGACAAGCCTGCTTGGACTGTTCCTGGGTTGTCCCCGTGTCATGCATGGTCTACCAGTGCCGATACTATTTGAGTCTGTACCACCTTACAAGTACCACCTATTCAGAGTTGTCTTCAGTCATGTCACATGAAGTCCCTGGGTCCTCCTGTTGGCAGCAGTCCTCAACAATGTAGAAATTTTCCCCACAAGGGCAATGTTCTCTGCATTACTCGCCAGTCCAGTGTGGCTTGATCCAGCACCTCCAGTGGGCAGGTCCTTGACCCTTATTGGAAGTGTCCTTCAGAAATCAGCAACTGGGACTGGAGAAGGACAGAAAGTACATCGGTGGAGCGTGGAAAGGGTGAGTTCTGCTTTGGGGCTTTAACAGAACAAGGGTAGGAAGGATTTTGTTTTTTATTTTATTTTATATTAGACCGTGAAAGAGGAATACCCTTGCTGTACCTGAAAGCATGCGTCTCCCTTGGTCTTGTGCATGGTCTACCAGTTGAGCCTGTCCATCTTACAAGTACCTATTCAGAGTTGTCTTCAGTCTGGTCACCTGGGTCCTCCTCCTGTGGCAGTGGTCCTCAGTGATGTAGAGATTTGCACCACGTGGGCAGTTTTCTCTACATTATTCTCCTGAGTTCATTGCGGCTTGATCCTTCACCCCCATTGGGCAGGTCCTTGACGCTCGCCAGGAATGGTCCTTCAACTTGGAAGGTGATTAGCAACCGGGACTGAAGGAGCCACACAGAGTCCATCTCCTGGAGTGTGGAAAGGGTGAGTTCTGCTTTGGGGCTTAAACAGGACGAGGTAAGGGAGGGGTTTTTATGTTTTAGATTACGGACCATGAAAGAGGAATAGCCTTGCTGCAGCAGAAGGCGGGCGTCACACTTGGGAGGAGATAGGTTGGTGCAGATCCAGAACCTATTGCAGGGTAATCTTGCAGCTTGACACCCCATGAGGCCTGACATGACCCAACCCATCAGACTCCATCCATTGGTGGATTATCACTAGGGATGCACCGATATCGGTTTTCCGGTATCGAGTACCGATAAAAAAAATTTCTGTACTCACCGATACCAAGAAACTGTGCCTTGTGCCCCGATTATCCATGACCCGTCGCCCCCAGCTTCCTTATTGCTAGTGAAGCCGGTGTTCTAGCAAAAGAACTACGGCTTCCGAGGCTCCCTGACCAATCAGGAAGCCGGGCAGCGAGTCATGAGGTGTCGTCCGGCTTCCTGATTGGCCTGAAGCCAGGCTGCCTAGCAGCACGTAAAGCCGGCTTCCTCGCCAATTGTTCCTAGGCAGCCTGGCTTCCTGACTAATCCGGAAGCAAGGCGACTGTTCATGACGTGCCACCCGGCTTCCTGGTTGGTTAGGATGCCAGGCTGCTCAGCAACACGTGAAGCCGGCTTCCTCGCCAATCAGGGATCCGGGAGGCACGTCATGACCCAGCTTCCTGATTGGCTAAGAAGCCAGCTTCACTTGTTCCTAGGCAGCCTGGCTTCCTGACCAATCCAGAAGCCAGGCGGCGGGTCATGGACGTGCCACCCGGCTTCCTGGTTGGTTAGGAAGCCAGGCTGCTTAGCAACACTTGAAGCCGGCTTCCTCGCCAATCAGAGGTGGGTCATAACCCTCCGCCCGGCTTCCTGATTGGAAAGGAAGCCGGCTCCATGCTCCCATGGCACTGCCGGTCAGAGGGAGATTTCCCTGACCGGTATCAGGAGCATTTGGCATCCCTAATTATCACGGTTAGCCGGACTGCTGTTGCGGTGTAAAAGTCCAGCTGGTTGCCCCTTTATCCACAATCTCTGGTTATTATGAATTATACATGTAGGGTTAATCAATGTAGGAAAATCTGCTTATTTTTTATGTTAAATATTAAAACTGCTGAAAGAAACCACAACCTGAATGTCTTGTCTTCTCTGTTGCAGTTACCGGATTCAGCCTGTGGGGGGTGGTGTTGACTATGGGGCTGGTCTGCACTGTGTACACGACTCTGGTAAGACCTTCCAAAGTTCTGGCTGTGAAAGAAAGAGAAGCCATTTGCACGGTGGCTTCTGGAGAGCACAGCGCACTCTTCTAGCCGAGTGTCTCGGGATTCCCACTGTAATTAAATGTTTATCTGTAAAGATTCTCTGAAAATCGGGGAAAATGCGTTTATAAACCCAGCTGAGTGGGGGAGGGGGACTTTTGGCCTTTTTTTTTGTCTTGGCTGCCTTATCCTGGCACCAATATCTACTAGGCTCTGGCCTGTCTGCCTCACACACCTCGCTGTTGGTCATTTGAGGGATCTGATTGATGGGTCAGGATTTGCAGGGTAACGCACCCAGACACTCGGGGTATTGCAGCACTTCTCCAGATGTTAAAGCCCATAGAAAGCAGCAAGAGAGGTTCATAAAAGTCCTGCAGTTTTTTTTTTTTTCTTTGCACATTGAGTGAAAAAAAAAATCTTGTCCTTTGCCAGCATGCTGCAGAGAAGGACCTTGTGCTCTGTGATTGGCCGAGGAGTCGGCTCCATGCTCTCTCGTCACAAGTGAGGAGGGAGCATGGAGCCGGCTTCCCGGCCAATCAAGAAGCCGGGCAGCGTGTAATGACGCGCTGCCCGGCTTCCTGATACCGGAAGTACTTGTGCTAGGCATCGGAGCATTTGGGCGAGTACCAGTACTCGCCCAAATACTCGGTATCGGCACTGATACCGATACTAGTATCGGTTCATCCCTAATTCAAACTATATACTATGACTGTAGGCCGGCCCCAAGTACAAAGCAGAGGAATGAACTGAAGATGGAAATCATGACGAGGGAGTTTTCCAGGGATGGGTTGAAGTCGGGGCTGGTCGGCAGGCTGGGGTCGGGGCTGGCGGCAGGCTAGGGTCGGGGCT